GAGTTTTGAATGGCCCAGTAAGGAGAAGACACGTGGTCGTTTTCTTCACAAAGTCCATGGTTATTTACCTGCGGATTTTTATCTGCAGGAAGATTCGTAGCTTGCTTCCAAAATTCACCCTAGGCCATGGAAACAAAATCTAAGAGCACCAACGTGCTCGTCTTCTCCCACTGAGCATCCATGTACCATTTATTGGCCTTGATTTTACTTGTATCCAAAATTCCTAAAAAACAAGAACAAGAACCCTAGATTCGGGCGCTATGTTACAGGCCATGAAAAAGAAATTGAATATTGCCAAAATGTTCTAAATCAAACAACAAACACAAATATGCAAAGATTTTAATGAAAGGATGCAAGAATCAGAGGTTTGGATTTCGTGTTCAGAGCTTGGTTCGTGGACACTTACAGTGATTTGCAGGCGATGAGATGGCTTGGTTCCGGTTGCTTTCGCTTCAGGGGATTGCCAGCAAGGGACTAGTGTCAAGCTTTTGCTTTGAATCGAGCTCTAAGGTGGATTTCAGATTCCAAGTTTTCAAGCTTTTTCTCAAACTTCTTATGGCCGTTTCAGCAATGCTTGGGTCGTGTTTTTGATATGCCTCACTTGTGTGTGTATAAGGGAATGAGTTTAGGTTAAAACTTGGGCTTGAATCCATAAGAATTGATGAATGGAGATTTGATTTGATCACCATTATCAAGTTTCCATATTTGCATCAAATCTGAGATTTTGTGCATGTTTTGACTTGGGACAAGTTTGATTGATTGTATCATGGTATTTGCAAGCTGTAATGACCACAAGAATCTCATTCCATTAATTTTTGGATTTTATTTGAATTAATATTGATTTAAAATGAATTAAATCAATAAAAATTAAATAAAATATAAAAATAAATGATTGGTCATGATATTAAAGATGGGACACATGTGTGGTGTGATAAGACCAAATCAAGTGGAAAAAAGTGGGCTCTTTTGTCAAAAATTGGAGTTTTGAGGATAGTTGACTTTTGGCAATTTTAGAAAAATGCCCAACTTCAACAATGCATAACTTCTTCAATTTTGTACTTTTTGAGGTGTTCATTGACTTTTTAGAAACCCTGAGATGTCCTCTAATCAACCCTTTTGATCTCATCTCATTTTGACATTCCATGCTCAAGTTATAAGCTTTGGAAAAAAAGGTGTTTTTGTTGACTTTCAAAAATGACCTATAATGTCCAAATTTGCAACTTTTTGTGAGAGCATTTCTTGATCTTGGGGTGTGAATATGGATTGTAGTAAATTTCATCCTCTTAAAAATTAGATTTGGATGGGTCATTTCGCATAAAGTATGAAAACGTTATGCTTGGTCAAAGTTGAGTTGACTTTTCCTGCAAAACCCTAATTTAGCAACTTTTGAATCTTGATGAATCTTGAGAAATCCTTGATGAATCATGATCAACACTTGATCAAATGATGAATTATCCTTCAAAATGAGAATGTTGGCAAAAAAAATTAAGGTTTGACTGTATTTAGGTCACAGTTGACTTTTGCCCTAGCACAGTCAATTTTTGGACCTCTTGAGCAATTGACTGACCGAACTTTCTCTGCAAGGCTTGAAATTTGATATGGATGAACTTGAGGACATATTAGGACATTGGGGAGAATTTGAGACCATTTGGATATGAGGACCTTGATGCAACACAAAACTCTAATTTTGAATTGAATGCCTTAGGAGGTGATTTGACTGTCCAACTCTTGAGCCATCTTGAACAACTTGGAGGTGATTCTTGACATGTCTTGAGAAATATGGGAGGGAAAATTTTGGGGTACAACAACTGGTATTGATGGTAGAACACGGTATCTAAATCTTCCCATGTATTGATACGGGAACCATTTAACTGAAAAAACCATTCAAGTTGTGTTCCGGCCAAGCTCTCTTGGAAAAAGTGAACCCAGAGTTTCTTATCAGTAGTGCGCGGTTGTATCTTGCGCACATAGGATTTCAGGTGAAGTTTTGGACAAGAAACTCCATCGTACTTTGCAAAGACTGGTATTTTGAATTTGTGGGGAATGACAACCCCAGAGATCAAACCCAAATCATCAAAATCTAAACCGGGGACGGCTTGGATTTCAACAGCTTTCAATCTATCTTCTAACTGCTTATACTTAATATCGGCGGGTGGATACTGCTCATTGAAATAATCATCATCAGATACTTGATCATTAACACAGTCATCCTGAGTACTCTTAACTTCACCAATCTGGTTCTCGTCCTTTTCAGATGAGTCTTCTCCTACCGGGATCTGACGAACTGTCTCCTTGAACCTTCTACCCATGTTGAGTAGAGCTTTCTTCTTGGGATTCTTCTTAACTACCAGAAATTCCATCATATCTTTCTTCCCCTTGGATAGGGCCGATAGAGTCTCTTGGAATTGAGAGTTTTATTCCTGGAGATCCTTCACAGTTTTCTCTAGATCCATCTTGCTGAAATAAACAGCAGAAAGATAAGGAAACTTGTTATGCGGAAACTTGTCATGTTATGATGCATGGAATATGTACATGTAAATGATTTCAAGGATTTATTAAATTTAACTTTGTATAGACAAAAGAGTGAACAAACTTCAATTTTAATTAATTAACTTGAAAATATTACAACATGCCTCTTGGGCTTACAAAATAACTCTCTAAAATGAAAAGACTGAACGCATCCTCTTCGGCGCAAGGTAGGCGTTCACAATTTCTCTTCTTGTAGCTGCTTCGTAAGCTCCAAGACCCTCTTCTCACTAGCATAGAATTGAGCCTCGAAAGTATCTCTTTCTTCCTTAAGCTGAATCCATCATTTTCGCAAGTCTTCGAGAGAAGTTGGCATGTCGGGGTGGAGGATAGTGTAGGGAACGTCTCTTTCAACCACAGGCTCCATGATAACTGGTAAGATGGAGGGATAAGGCATCACAAGTTTCTGAGCACAAGCTCATACCCACTTAAGGTAAGGCTCGAGGGGAATAGAATTCTTGTGTCCCAACGTTTTTCTATCCACCTTGTTCGCCATTCTCCAGGCTCAGATAAACCTCTGACGGAAGCTTTGACCGTTGTTCTCGTAGTTGAATACCACTCCTTGGATAAGAGTATCATATGGACCATCCCTTCAGGCGAAACCAAACTGTCGTAAGGCTAAGCAGGAGTTATAATTGATACCTCCTCTAATGCCAAGCAAGGGGACATTAGGGAATTCTCCACAACAGTCGATGATAATAACATTCTCCAAAGATCAGGAACACCAATGAATATCTTAATGTCTGAGCACCATCAACCTATGGGACCACCTTGAACCTTGCTCATTCTTCAACACAGATTGGGGAAGATGCGAAATAAACCATCTTTCCAAGATAGGAGTGCAACATATGAGGATACCTCTCTTCCTCATAGTGCGAGAGTGAAAAGAATGTAGAATGTCTCCCAACAAAGTAGGCATTGGGTTGCGAGATATGAAGATTTTGACAGCGTTTACATCTATGAGTTGGTCAGGATTTGGAAAAAAAAACATCCCATAGATGAGAAGGGCCACAATTTCTTCAAAAGCTTATAAGTCCAAGGAGTTCCAACAATCTTGAGATTTCTCAAACAAGAACTTGGCCAAGAAACCTTTGACACCACTCCTTGTTTCCCAATTAGTTGTGACATCAGATTGTTGCAAGTGTAGGGCTTGAGCAATCTCTTCAAGTTTTGGATCTCTTTCCGTACCGTTGAATGGTAGTCGATTGAGAATGGGAATTCTCAAGAGTTGGGAGAATTCTTCCAAAGTTGGCACAAGTTGATAACTGGGAAAAGTGAAGTAAAGGTGTAAAGGATCAAAGGAAATGGAAGAACACCTTCATCATATCTTCATCAGTGTTGGAGGTAACCATGTTTAGGAGACGACCATGTCTTTTGGTGAATGGAGAATTCTCAGGAACCCTTGATGCTAACTGTTGTACCCCAATTTTTGACCTAAGATCCCACCTCCCATCTGCATTATTACATAGCAAGCGTTCACAAGCGATTCGACCTATTTTTGCCACTTCTCGAGTCAGATTTCAAAAATTCATAACTTCTTCGAATTTCGACATTTTTGAGAGGTTGTTTTTGCGCATGATTTTCCTTGACATCATCCACAACTTTTCTTTATAAATCAAGGGAAAATCATGCATTAAAAAGCCATGAAAAATTGTTGACGTTAAAAGTTGTTTTGTGAATTTGGTGAAATTTGGGTTCGACTGTGTTTTATTCATGATTTCTTTTCCATTAAAAAAATTGCAAAAGACGCACTTAACATGTGTTATTATTTTTATTTATTCAAAATATAAAAAAATATGGTCTTTTATTAATTCTATTTAAATTTATATGTTTGTATCACTTTATTTGAAAAATCTAAAAAATATGTGATTAGCGTCATCTTTATTTTAGTTGTATTTTACATCCAGAAAATCTCAAAGAAAAAAAAACATCTAGTTAATACCATTTTCTTTTATTTACATTTTTATTTCTTTAGTCATTATAATTTTAGTTCCTTTTTAATTTTGATTTAGTTCTAATATTAATTGAATTTCTTAAATTGAATTATTATTATTACTAAACACTTTTTTTGTTTGTGTCTCTTATTTTAATTTTTTTTTTGTACTTTTAGTTTAGTTGTCACTAACAATCTCTTTTTTGATTAATTATTATTACTATTTTTTTTTCTTGCTGTTAATTTTTGTTCTACCCAAATTTGCTTCAACTCTTGCCAAAACTAACCACAAACCTGTTACTGTCATACTGCAAAATTTGCACCATAATACATCCAAGAAACTTACATGAGAATGGCATTTTTTTTCAAAAAAAAAAGAATAAAGCAAAAAGTCATACTATATTTCCTCTATCTATAGAATAAACTTCAACCTCAGTCAAAAAAACCACAACGGTAATAACCCCTTTGAATTTCTTCACAAACCTTCTAACTCCCATATTACCCCTCTCTTCACATTCACATACATCACCAACCATTTGTTCTAGACATAACCCATCACCTTCAGTAACAAAACTCTCCAAAAATTAGCAACAATCTTCATCCAAGCTTCAACTTTGTCCATCATTACAGAAGCAAACAACAATAAACACCGATGCCGTAACCTGCATAATATACAAAACAATATTACCAGAAACGAAAGCAAAACGAAGAGCAGCAACTTATCTTTCAGATCGACACCTCTTAGAAGTCTCAGAGTCGGTATTTTCCTTAACTTTTGTTATTTATACTCACTGTCATATATGTCTGTTCGTTGTTCAGAACTTCCGATTTGATTTTGATTTCTACCCTAGCCTTTGCTTTCATCTTTTGTCAAATTTTTTTGATGTTGTTGTACATCCGCGAGAGAGAATATTACCGAGTAGTCAGATGAGAACTGAGAGACAGGACGCTGTTAATATTATGGTACAAAAACTAACCAAGAATCATAATCACAGAGGAAATAACACGTAACAAAAACAGTAGAAAACTCACCATCGATTTCATAAAAATGCAAATAATCCACTTTCATTCATCCATCACCCAAACATGTTGTTACACCATCTTCCTCCTCCTCCTAATTTCATCTCCGATAACCAAAAACCTCGCCGAAAACTCTCACGTCATCAATTTCTACTCCCCAAACCTCTATCCAGAATCCCTAGCCTGGGACCCAACCAAACAACACTTCCTGGTCGGATCCCTCCTCCACCGCACCATCTCACCCATCTCTGACGCCGGCATAGTCGAAACGCTAATCTCCGACACCTCCCTCCCCAAAAACGTCACCGTCGAAGGCATAACCATCGATTCACGCAACAACTGCGTCCTCGCTGTAATCCACGCCATTCGTCCTCCACCCCACCTTCCATACTTTCTAGATCGGCGGTTTACAGTACTAGTTTTTTTATTTTTTTTAGACTCACTAGGAGATCTAAGGGTTATGGTTTCGCGAGATTTGCTGTTGAGGATGAACAGACGAGTGTTATGACTGAGATGCTAGATGGTTTGAAGTAGAATAGAAGAATTGTTGGTGGTGGTGTTGAAACGCACAGAATTAGAGGGCTAGATAATTGGTTGATATGTAGAGATAAAAAGAATCGGTTGAGAGAATCAGAAGAAGATTTTGAATCGTTGAGTTTTGATGAAAGAGAGTGAACTGTTGTTGCTTGTTCAGAGAAATAGCGTGAATGAAAATGGAAAGAGAAGGGTGCAGAGAATTGGGAATTGTTGTTTTATGTTTTCTTCCCAATTTTTTCGTTATTAATGATAATAATTAAGAATTAAATGTTGACCAATTCTTTCCATTCCCCAAAGTCCAAGCGGCGCCTCTTGCATATTTTTTTAGGGTTTCGAAAACCCTTTCCCCCCTTTTCTTGGTGGATCCGGGTTTGGGCTTAAGCTTTAAAGCCCAACGCAATCACACTACTCCCTTTATAACATTTGAAGAGTATTCATGACATCAAGGTAGCATTGGTTTGGTGGCAAGGCCGTTCAGTTGTGACTAAAGGGATCCGAGTTCGATCCCTGGCTATTATTTTAGCTTTAAGTTTATTTAGTCATATTTCACACAAAACTCATAAATATAATACAAAAATATTAGATTAGGTTTTTAGTTATTTCTTCCTTCACCTCTCCAAAACCGGGTCAGTCCAATGGGCTATTGGCCCAATAACTCAACCTTTTTTTTTATGTTTTAAAAGAACATAATAAGTAATGAATAAGTGAAACAGTTTAATTGTTAATCTACTTTGCTGTAAAATTATTAATTAGTATAAAAAACACATAAAAACATTTAATTAAAATTTCACCTTTATTTAATTTTGAAAACATACTTTTTTCTTTTATTATATTTTTGTGTTGTCGCTTATTTAATTATTCAAAAATACATGTTTCATGATTTAATTTTGTCATGTGTTTAATTATAAAAAAATCTATGTTTTCTTAATCTTCATGTGCTCTTTTATTATTTATTTAATTTTTAAGATGCATGCTAGTATGATTTAAATTTCATTAGTTAATCGTTTAATTATAATTTTGATTAATTGATCGTTAATCCGTATATCTCTCGTCCGTTTCAATCCAAGGGAATTGTTTAATTTTTGTCGACTTCATGTCACCAAAAAAAAACATTGTGCGAATACCCTCATTTCATTAAAACTTAGGATGATTTTTCCTTAAAAAAAATTCATTTTATTTTCAAAACTTATACCTTTTAAGCAAAAACTTCGACATTAGGTCGTAGTACCTTCAAAAACCCGTCTGTACCCCCTTTCGGCCAAAACAATTTATTTTTCAATCGAACGAACAATTTTAATAAACAGATATTTCAAAAGGTTCCTATAGAGTACTATAGATACATTGGGTGCTAATACCTTCCCACTGTATAACCAACCCCCGAACCATAGATCTCTTTTCAAAAACGCCTTGTATTTTTATTACTTTTAAAAGTATTATTTACATTGCATATTTAGGGTTTTATTTCGCTCTTTCCCCTTTTCCCTTGGAAACAATAAAGCGCGGTGGCGACTCTTGCTTTTGTGAGACGAATTAACCAATAATTCGATCTCCGATTTACCCCGCTACATTTTTTATCGCTATAGAATTGGCGACTCTGCTGGGGAAAGATTGACCTCTTGCTGGTCCATCCCTAAGTGGGTTAAGCCTAATTTGTTTTATCTGTTTTATTACTATTTGATTTGTTTGATTATGTGTTTAAATTGGGTTGTTTGGGTTTTTTGCGAAGGACGAATCCTATACCAGGATTAAGTAACACTTAAGGAATAGGACGGGAGGTATAGTCATGTTAACTTTGAGGGAGTAATCCCGAAGAAGGAGGCATGAGATCCCCCACTCAATGGAAGGCCCTCTTGACCTTAATATTTGTTTACCGAGTAATCGGGAAGACATTATTATTTTCGACCTAGGAGCCCGAGAAGTTGAGGACCGTAGAACCCTAACCCATCTTGGCCTTTTTAGGTGTAGCGCGGAGACTATAACGGAGTAATTCGGAAGTAGTTGTTACGCGACGCTACGCTCGGACGAGTTTCTCTTGAGAATATTGCTAATTATTGAGTAATCAAGACGTTGGTAATATCCGAAGGAGGAATTTAGACTCTGGGAACTCTTAGAACCATGTCTTACAGGTGTGATTGAACCGTTAGTACATACCTTTGGGTGGGCTTTACCCTCGACTCCATGCTGAACGTTGAACCCTTGAACCCCATGTTTGCAAGCTTGTGTGTGACTGTTGCATTATCATTCATTCATGAATTCATTGGCATCTTTGTAAAAAAAAAAAACTTGTTTTTCAAGGAACTTCGGAATGATTTTTGCAGACATCTCAGGTTATTATGGAACTTGGAAGGAGAAATACTCGAAGCTTTAGTTTCAAGGAGCCCGAGATTGAAGAACTGGAGAGTTTGATTCCAAAGATCGAGAGTCCGACGAATTTTCAGAAGAAATATGGGTCCATCGTACCGCTCATGAAGCGCAAGATGAAGAAAGGCATCCTCAACACGTTGGTTCAATTCTATGATCCCTTGTACCGATGTTTCACCTTTCCGGATTATCAGTTGATGCCCACTTTAGAGGAGTACTCCTATATTCTTGGTTTGCCGATCGCCGACCGTGTTCCTTTCTCTGGATTAGAAGAGGAGCCCAAATCTCACGAGATAGCAGCCATCACCCACTTAAAGAAGTCAGAGGTAGAGGAGAACATGACTACGAAAGGGGGAATCCGGGGTTTGCCGGCACAGTTTTTGTTGAAGAAAGCTCGTCATTTTGCTGAGACAAAGGATACTGTTGCCTTCGAAGACGTGTTTGCTTTACTCGCATATGGTCTATTCTTATTCCCTAACGTTGATAAGTTTGTGGATATCAACGCCATTAGAATTTTCCTGATTGGAAATCCGGTCCCTACGCTGCTGGGAGATACATATTACTCCATCCACCTTCGAAACTCTTATCAAGGAGGGATGATTATTTGTTGTGTATCGTTGCTGTATCAGTGGTACGTCTCGCATCTACCTGGGTCTGATGCTTTCTGGGATCTCGAGAAGGAACCGCGTTGGGCGCCAAAGATTATGGCTCTCACTCATTTCGACATCGACTGGTATAATCGAGTTTACCACGACGTGGAGATCATTGATAGCTGTGGTGCTTTTCCTAACGTACCTCTTCTCGGTACGAGGGGCGGAATCAACTACAACCCTGTTCTCGCACGCCGTCAGTTCGGGTACCCGATGAGAGATAAACCAAACAACATCCATGTGAGTGGTTTCTTTCTTCAGGAAGGACAAGATCATCAGGCTGCTAAGAAGGAGATCGAAGGAGCTTGGCGCCACATCCATAGGAAAGGGAGAGATATGCTGGGACATAGAGGTGCCGTTTCTTTGGAGCCTTACTTACAATGGGTCCGTGCTAGGGCTTGTGTTCTCAAGATGCCCTATAAACTTGAGAAACCTTTATTTCCTGCCATTGCACCATCATCTGTTGTTATCCCTATCGCGGATATAGGAGAGTACCAAGGAAATCTGGCTAGGATGAAGTCCGAGAGGGATGCTTGGAAGGAAAAGTACCACATGTCTGAATATGAGAATCGAGTCCTGACTCGACAGTTAAAAGAGAAGGAGGAGTTGTTGTTTATTCAAGACGGCCGGTTCATTGATCACGATGAGAAGCTTCGTCAGAAGGATGCCTTGCTGAAGAAGTATGCGAGTGAAAGGAAGAGAAAAAGGGAAGGCTCGGTAAGCGTGGCTCTCGTTCCTAATCCGCGGAAAGAAATCATCGATCGACTGATAGCAGAGAAGAGGGAGATGGAAGACTTTTACGAAGAGAAGATCAAGAAGCTCCGTTTACAGCTGGTGTTTGGTCCTTCATCTGAGGATTCCGAGTGATCTTTAGCTTTTAGTTTATTTTATTGATGCCATTTTGTAAAACTATGTAAAAGGGCTTCATGCTCCGAAGTTGTAATTTATTGCTTTATTATGGGCTTCATGCTCCAAAGTTGTAATTTATTGCTTTATTTTAGATTTCATGTTTTAAAATTATAATTTATCACTTCATTATGGATTTCATGTTTCGAAGTTGTAATTTATTGCTTTCATTATTGGATTTGTTATCCCAAAGTTGTAATTTACTGTTTTGATATTCCAAATTGTAAGTTGTAATTTATCGCTTTCGATTAATGGATTGAGTTTTGGTTGTTCCAAATTCCTTTACCATTGATGTATGCAAAATTATCAAGGTTCCTTGAAAAACTTTTAAAACGAGTCACCATTTGCATCGCACATCATGCATCATTCCACATTCCACTTCACATGTTTTCTAGAGTCTTATCCTTGTTCTTTTTCCACTACCAAAGGTTGTCAAGCTGTCTCACCGATACGACACTCGGGCCAATCGTCAGAGGAAAATGGAAGATTTGGAACAGGAAAATCATGAGCTTCATGGGGAAGTTGCTACACTTCGTGTCGAGATGGAAAAGTTAACTGCGTTAGTGGAAAGTTTGGTGGCTGTTCAGAATCAGCCATCGACTACAGCTGCCGAGATTCAGACTTCAACTCCAGTGGTTTCCGAGATTATCACCGTTCCTATCACCGTGACTCAAATCAACTCTCCGCTTCAACATCAGATGCCGAAAGGTTTTCTGTGGGGAATGCCTTACAACTTTGTGCCAGAGGGGTATCAGCCTGCCGTACAACCTTTATTTCAACCTGCTTTGTCTCTTCCTCAACCAGAGACAACTTCCATGCCACCAGTAATTCCGTCTGCGACACCTTTTCCGCAACCGATTATGA